TGGCAATATTCACTAGGTGCATTGCTCTCGTTGAAGCAAAAAATTAGCATCTAGTTTGTGACAACCTGGGATAAGAATAAAACGTGTTGGCCACTTCTTGTGAGATCGAATATTGATCGAAAATTTCATAATTTACCATTTTTACTGAGGTGATCGAATTGTTACTCTTAATTTACAACATAGAGGTGTGATATTGTGGAACAAGGAGGTTGTAATGTTTCAATTCTTCATGATAGACCACACGAATCTTTTTGAGACCGTGGTGTCGTCGGTGTTGAGAGACACCTCCCCCTCACAAATTGTGCGGGCAGAACCTTAATCTTAGATTTTACCACCATCGATGACGGATCATCCCAATTTCCATCCTCCAACATGTTTACATAATACACGTCCAATTGTACATTTAGCAAATTAGCCAATGCATTTAGGCAGCAATAATCAGCCCATTCCTTGTCTTGTCTCAATTCTCCCAGGTAATCCTCAATAGTTTCTTGAAAAGGTTTTAAAAATATTAAATCTCGTACTTTGATTCCTCCATCTTGTGACACTGGCGTGTCTAAATTATTTTCAATCCAATCCACACATTTTTGCCTTATTTGGGTGTGATACTCTTCACTTTGAGCAAGTGCCAAAGAAATACAATTAAATAAACAATTTCCATTTGCTGTGGCGTGAATGAGCCTTAAATGTTTTCGAGCCAATAGCTCCGAGAGAAGTTCTTTTTTGCGATTCTTGTGTGACGATCTTGAATCTTCTTGTTGTTGGTGTGATTTTTTGACAGGTTGAGGTGAGGAAGGAGTTGTTGCTTTGTTATGTGTTGTGGCTCCTTCTTCCACTGCGTGAAGGTGGCTTGCCTTTTTCATGGGTGGCTCTTCTTCCGAAGGAATGCTATTCCGATGATGAAAATTGTGAGTTTTAGGTGATGATGTGTATTCAAAATCCATCTTATTTTCCTCATTATCACTTGGAGAGGTAACTCGAATGAACCTTATTCGGGGATGCCTTACGGAAGCATCTTGATGATGATGAATCATTGAAGCGTGTGAAGAGGGTGAAGAGGGTGAAGAGGAGGAGGAGGATGGTCTTGATTCTATTTCCTTTTCTTGTCTATCATCAATAGGGCGATGAGATTTGAAAAAGGAATTTTGTGTTCTTGAACGATGGATGGTGATTGGAACGGAGGTGGATGTATTCTTGAGGTCATGATGATTTCGTTGTTGAGAATGATGATTCAAACTTGTGGTTCCAACAACAGGATGAAAATCCAATGATGAGGAGGATGATTCTTCATTCCGTTGATCCATTCTTTTACTATCATTTGGGCCGATCAATCTACATGTTTGCTGCTGAAGATGATGATTTGTATTAGGGTCTAAATCATTCAACATCCGCAGTCGATCATGAAAAATTCTAAACTGTGGTTTTTCTCTGATCCGATGGTCATTCCGATGTAAGCTTAATGGAGGTGTGGAGGGAGAGTGATCTCTCTCTTGATGATTCATCCACCACTGATGCAGAAGTATATGCGTCATTTCTGAAGTCAATTCAATTTTTTTTAACCTTTTTAAAGTTCGAATCAAATAATTCTATTTTTGAAATTTCCTTATTCAAAGAGCGGCTCGGAATTTTGATTCCGAAGACAAAAATACAGAAGCAGAAACCATCTCATTTTGTGGGTATCACTCTGTAATCTTGTGAAATCCAACTTCACAACAAACGACCTGTAAATGATTCATTGCGCTCTCAAAGGTTACAAAATCCTGTTCCAGATTGCACTTTTACGGCAAAGAAAAAAAATGGGCGAAAAATCCATTTCATCGTCAATTTCAAGAACAACGTCGTCATCGTTCAACTCTCTTTTCATGCTTTCCACACTATTCCTCATCCTTCTTCTTCTTCATTCCTTTTTTACCCCATTCTTCATCCTTTCCGAAAATCTTTCTTTCTCTTCTTCAACATTTCCTTTACAGGCAACCACCACAACGAAAAGCCTTTCATCATCAGAAAATTCTCTCATCAACCCACTCAATTTTACCATCTTGTATGTTCAACCAAATTCTTCATCATCCTCTCTTCCGAATTGCACCCAAAAATCAGATCCGTGTTCTTCCATCTCTCAGGCCCTTCAGAAATTATCGGAATTGTTTCAATTGAAAATTATTGAACAAAAATCGGCCATCATTTATTTATTGGAAGGAAAATATGTTGGAAATTCGGCAGCTTGTCGAATGAAACAGAATGCAGTCTCAGAGTCGTATGATGATATTATTGTGGCATCGTATCCGTATGATAATACAAATAATAGTGAAAATCGAATGATCATTGATTGTAATAATGGAGAATTGATTTCGTATTTGAAAGCGAGGAGCATTTCGTTTCAAAACCTGACCGTTTTGAGAACAAAAATTTATAGCGACGAACAATTTGTCGTCTTGAATGTGTTTGAAATCAAGTTTGAAATGTGTCAAATCGATAATATGGCTGTTCAGGCGTCTTATTACAAGAAGGAATTTAATGTGACATTTGTGCAATGTAATGTTACACATTCTGAGTTATATAATATACTCAAAACCACATTTGAAGAAAGTATAATGAAATTTATTGGCTTGACAAGTAACAAGAAGGCCATAGTTTCGATTCAAAATTGTGCCATTCAAAATTTTAACTACAAGTCAGTTCAACAATATGTGAATACAATTTTGGATATTCAATATAGCCAAACATTTTCGATTGTGAATAGCCAGTTTGTGAATTCCAGTTTTGTCATTACAAGATTTCAATCCATTGAGTTTAAAGGAGTGAATTTCGATGGATATACCTCAATTTACCAAGCATATTCCAGAACGGCCACACTAACAAACATAATTTCTACAAATGGAAATTTTTTTTTAGAAAGTGATGGAATTGACAGCGTGGTTTTTAGTAGGTGTGTATTTTCACAGCCTCAGCAAGAAGTAGACACAAATGCCATTCAAAACCCTAAGCCAACCATTAGGATTTCTTCCACATACTTTTTACAAGTTTCTGCTACGTTCAAAAACCTTCATACGATCCCTCTTTCCACCTCACTCGTCAGTAACTTGGTAATCACAGGTTCACTCTTTGAAAACAACAAAGGAGCAGTAATTGCAAATTTTGAAGGCGTGCTCGATTCAGAAATCAGACTAGTAACTTCTTCATTTTCCTACAACAGTTTAGAACAAGGTTTTGGTGGAGCCGTCAGTATTTCTGGTGTTCAACGTACTGTCTTTGAACAATGTTACTTTATGGGAAACAAGGCATTGAATGGAGGAGCCATGTATCTCGATACTCGTTTTGTTTCTGTACAGTCTGCTGATTTTATCAACAATTATGCAACGCAGAATGGTGGAGCTCTCTATATCAAAAATCATGATTCTTCATTCTTCTCCAATTTGGGATTCACTTTTTTGAATAATACAGCATATCGTGGAGGAGCCATCTATTTTGAAACTTCAGCCCCTTTGGACAGTCAACAATCACTTCTTCGAAAATTTCACTCCTGTTACAACAACACTGCTTTGTATTCTGGCGGATGTATCTACTCAACCAAGATTGATATGAGTGACAATTATAACATTTATTTGTCAAACAATATTGGAAATAAGGCCCTATCCTATGGGCCATTCATTGGTGGCCCTTCTCGGATATCCATTTTCAAGTTGTGATTCAATTTGATAGCAACAGCGAGGTGGAGAATGTGACTCAAATAATGTATCCACAACAGCCACTCGAATGGAGTATCTATCCAGGTCAGGTAATTCCAAAAATTAGATTTCAAAAAGTTTCCTACAATGGAACTGAAATAATTAATTATTTACAAGATCAAGTCATACTAAAAGCAAGAAATGATGATTCCATTATTCATTCTGATGTTTCTAAAAGTAGAAACGAAATAATTGGGTTGTCACTTTCCATTTTCTCGAATAGTTCAACAAAAATTGAGGCAATTTTGATTTTTGAGAATTATTACAAATTGAACGTCACTATTCATATTTTGGATTGTCCTGATGGATATAAATTGAAGCAACCATTTTCGTATGGATATATCTGCATCAAGAACGATGTCCCAATTTCCAATGATCTCATTTTAAAAATTGTCATTCCTATTGCGGTAGTTTCAGGAGTTTTTTTAACATTAATATTTGGATTAATTCTACTAGTTACGATCAAAGTAGTGAGAAATATTTATTTGAAACTTCAAATGTTGAAACGAAAGGTTAAGGCGGAGCAGACTTTGGAGTCTAAAATTATTGACAAGAAGGTGATTTTCTCGGATATGAAAACTCCGTTGTTAATTAATGACAGTATCGGAAGTAGCAGTGATTACACCCCTTCAATTGGTAAAACCCAAAAGAAGAGTTATCAATCTTTAATTATTCCGATTGAGGACATTGAAATTGTGAAAAAAATCGGAGAAGGTAACTATGAAATTGTTAATACTATTATATTTTAACACCCGCAACTGCTATGAAAAATATTATGGAATTTCTTCAAATATATAGGAAGTAACGGAACGGTCTATCAAGGAAAGTGGAATAGCAAAGATGTCGCCCTAAAAACACTTAAATTCGATGACATTGATATGGGAGAAGAGTTTGAAAAAGAAGCCGCCATGTTGAGCGTTGTCAATCATTCTTCGATTGTCAAAATGTATGGAATTTCTCTTTCTGGATCTCACAAATACATTGTAGTGGAATATTTACCCAAAGGAAGTTTAGACAAGTTGATTTATGGATGTAAAATGAGGGTTGAATTTTTGACTCTTCGTCAAAAAATTAACATTTTGCTTGGAGTTGCAAATGGAATGGCTTACTTGCATTCCTTGAAACCACCCATTGTTCATCGAGATTTAAAACCAGGAAATATTTTAATTGATGAAGATTATAACGCAAGAGTATGTGATTTTGGACTTTCGAAAATTATGGGAAATAGTGCTGCTGCTACCAAACATATTGGAACTGTGTTTTATATGGCGAGAGTAAGTGTGTGAACAAGATAGATGTAAAACATTAATGGTGATGAACTTTTTTGCTATTCAATGTGTGATGAATTTGTGAACCTTGATTAATTCAACAATTCATTCACAATTTTACTTTAACAGGAAATGGTGGATGACAATCCAAAATACACTCCCAAAATCGATGTCTACAGTTTTGCAATTATCATGTGGGAATTGTTTTTTGAAGAAAATCCCTATGTTAATGACAAGTCTGCAAAAATTCACAGATTCAATTCAGCATCCTCTGTCGAGAATGAATACAATGTGTTGCTGCACGTATTGAATGGATCAAGACCGAAAATTCCCTTCTCTTCTCCACTGGAAGAAGAAATTTGGTTGAAAGAATATGTTCAACCTTATCAAAATGGTTGTTCTTTACCTAAATTGGTGCAAATCACAAATGAATATATCGAGTTAATGAAAAGATGTTGGCAGTCAGAACCAGAATTGAGACCAGAGTTTTCAGAAATTGTACAGGTTTTGACAAGTGTGGAGAAGCTGTTGTTGTGAAAGCTATGATTTGTCTTTCAAGTAATTTTCTAGAATATTATTGTTTATTTTGGAATGCAAGACTCAGCAAATATACTTTACAAGATTGACCAAATATTTGAATTCAATTTTCCATCTTATTTTGTCTGTGAGGCAGCATTCTTGATTCGTGTATTGATATTATCAATTTTCATTTGCTTTTTGAATGCAAGACTTTCCTTAAATCTTCGATGAGTGTCCAACATTAATTGAGCAATTTCACGTTCGATACTATCAAATAGATCATCCTCCAACAAGGGAAAGGCGCTGTTTGCACATTCCTCAATTTTATGCTTAATAACGTCAGTCTTTTTCTTTGACAGGTTGACAGTCATGCTTCCGTTCATGTCCAAAAATTCATTGTATATTTCCTTTGCCAATTCGAACTTTTTCTTTTCGTAGGACATTAAATCTGCTTCGGTGTAGGGTTTTTTTGGATGTAGAATCTTTTTTGGGCTTTTTTGTGGAAGCACTACTCATGGCGGAATATTCAGAATTGGCCTCACTAATGTCAGTGTCATCGGAGAGTGTGGATTTTGTATCATCATAGAGGAACATTTTGATTTCTAT